TTGCCTCTATGGAATTAAGATATATGAGAGAGGGAAGAAACTCATGTAAACCTTCATTTCCTTTTCTAAAGTATTATCTGGAACATTGCTGACTTCTTGCAGTGTCAGGAAATTGGAACATTAGTAACCTCAGGTATGAAGTTTCTCTTTAAATTTTGTTCTTTCCCTTGCAGTTTATCTAATTGTCTCAATTCCCTTCTCTTCTTGGACGCTGTGTCACAGGTGTGCCTGTCTCTGAGGCTGTGTCTTAAAGGTGTGGAAATCCACTGGAGGACTTACACAGACCTTAATAACATAAATTGTTTTTATTCTCCAGCAACTGCAACATCTCCTGCCTCCCTGGGAGAGTCTGCATTTATCCCCCACAGTCCTTTGTGTATGCATATGATAGAAATGCCCAAGTACTCCTCAAGCATTGATTGTTGGAGCCTGCTGAAGGTACTTTCCACTCTTAGGGAGAGGTCTTTCTGGTAATTTTTAGCTGTTCACAGTGTTCCTTGGAAATAATAATTTTCATTTGTTGATACCTGACAGTAAGCATCAGAGGAAAAGTTCCACTGGAATTCAAGAGGTTTGTCTTCACTCAGTTTCCAATTATGCTGTATTTTCCTTTTATATGCTACAAATGTGATTGATTGCTTGTTTTAAGGAATGAGGTAAATTAAGCTCAGTCAACTATCTGACACGCTTGTAGCTCTGAGACAGCTGAGGAACAGGTGGTCTAAAATGCATAGCCCTTTCAGTTAATTTAGTGGACTCACTTGAATCTAATTCTAAGAAAACCCATCAAGCTGTCAATCAAAGACCCTTGGGTGAAGAGAAGGCAAAGCAACAGGATTAAAGTAAAGCAATTATATTCGCCAAGCAGAAGACTTTATTTCATGAAAAGAAACAGCAAGACCAACAGATGTTCAATTGGATCAGCTGAAGTTTGTGTTTGTGTTTGGATTTGGATATATATATATTTTTTTCCCTATGGCTTTTCTGAAAAAGTCCATAGAAGTGTTCTCTTTTACTTTTAAGACCAAAAAAGCCACTATATAATCTCTGTTCACTGGCTGGAGTTTGCATTTTTCTTTACTATGATGGGTGAAAAGTTTTCTACTTTAAAAACCAGGTCCTTGGCTTTCTGTGAGTACACGTGATTTTTGAAACCTGATGTCTTCTATTCTCCATCTATTACAGCCCTAGTATTTATTAAAACTCCTAAACACCCAAGATAGGTGACATGTATAACATCTAACATAAATAAGTTCTAGAATGTAAAAGAATTTTTTGTGCAGTAGGAAGTTGAAAAGCAGCAGCCCAGTAGAACAATGGTCAAAAGATATGAAATGAGGGGTTTTCAAATGGTTAATTATTATCAGGAGATTCAACATTGGTTAGCAGTAATCAGAGAATTGCAAAACTGTATTGATCTGGATTGGTTACTGTATGGTAGATGCACCTGACAGTGATAACTTGCGCATACCCTAAGAATGATACTGTATGGCATAGGCACCTGAATGTTCAGACCTTGGAGCTAAGGAATCCAGGAGTAGCCAACATGGAGATCCATTCCTTGTCTAAGAGGAACATCTGTGTCTCTGGCCCAGCCCCTGGAAACATGCCATACTAGAGATCAAGGCCCTTTGTTACAGGTTAAACGAAGATTGCCAGGTGGGGGTTGTTAGGGGGAGAGTGTTAAGTGAAAATGTTATGTAAACTGAATGCTTTCTGAAAGTGGTTGCAGTTCTTCTGCCCAGCCCACCACCACTGGACTCTCTCCCCTGTATAGAAGCTCTTGGCCGGGCGCAGTGGCTCATGTCTGTAATCCCAGCAGTTTGGGAGTCCAAGGTGGGCAGATCACGAGGTCAGGAGATGGAGGCTATCCTGGCTAACATGGTGAAACTCTGTCTCTACTAAAAATACAAAAAATTAGCCGGGCGTGGTATCGGGTGCCTGTAGTCCTAGCTACTCGGGAGGCTGAGGCAGGAGAATGGCGTGAACCCGGGAGGAGGAGCTTACAGTGAGCCGAGATCACACCTCTGCACTCCAGCCTGGGCGACAGAGCAAGACTCAGTCTCAAAAAAAAAAAAAAAGCTCCTGATAACACCCCATGTCTCATTCTCTGGTTCTGGGTCTCTTATTTGGCCTCTTGAACCTGGTGCCATCCCGTTAGAGTCAATGAGTTTTGGCATGACAGTTACACACTGTGTTCTATTTGTAAAAATGTATTGAGATGTACACATGTATACTTTATGTTCATATTTCAATAAGGAGTTGAAAAAGGATCAGAAAGTAAAAGCAATAAACTAACACTTTCAAAAAGATGTCAGTTTATACCTTTACAGATTGGCAAAGATTTGAGCAACTGAAATATCTAATATTGCTAGAGTTGTAAAGAAGTGTGGTACCTTCTGCACTCTTAGTGGGAATATAAATTGGTACCCTCTTCTGAGAGAGAAAAAAATCTGGCACTATTTAGTGGAACTGAGAATGCTCAAACTCTAGAACACAACAATCCCACTCCTGGATATAACAAAAAAAATATAATTTAGTATCTCAAGGAGAAATGTAAAGATAATGAGCATAAATAACAGTTCCTTAAATCTGATATTAATTAAGATATGCACATAAAGTGCCTGGGATTGTGCTTTTCACCTGTGTGGACCACATACATACATAGTAACTAACGTGGCAGGGAAATGGAGAAGATGGAGATGGGACACACCTTGTTGGATGCAAGATGAAATGCAAAAATAACTGAACTCACCAAGTTAAATATGTTTATGAGTAAATGACATATTTCTCCCTTGATTCCTAGGCTTGTGGAAGAAACAGGAAAAAAGAAAAGAGAAAAAAATATTTGCAGACGAGGAAGTTCATGATAAAAAGGTAATGAAGGTTCCCTGAAACAATTCAAGTTTCCAAAATGTCTCTGGAGCCACAGGAAGCCTCAGAAAGCCATCCTTGGAGTTCAGACGATGTCCTGAAAAGTCACTGAAGAAGACAAGGAATTACGAAATGACAGAACAAGCAAAGAAATTATATTCAGCTGACATAGGGAGTGGGAGAAGGGTAATAAAAGAAGAAGGGCCAGAAGCTGGAGATAAATCAGTGAGCAACAATACAGGCAGAAGTGAATTGGCTGAAGAGCTAATTGGGTTTAATAACTATCATCCCCTCCTCACGCACAAGCGCATCAGTTTTGTATTCTTCATCAGAAAGATAACCTCCCCAAATTTTATAAACCTAACAGAGAAAGCCAAAGTGCCCCATCTCTAGACTCTACTCCAGACAAATGTCTTTTTATCTTTCTTTTTTAGTTAGTTTGTTTTTGGTTTTGTCCCATTTATGCTGAAAGAAAAGACATTACAGGTGCCATCTGTCCAGCTGCATCACCTCTAGAACATTGCCTGGAGGGATCATAGAGGACCGCTCTATCCCAAAGATTAACTAACTCTCCCATAGTTTCATTTCTTGCCCCTTACCTTTTCAGTACAAAATGCGTGCTGTTAGGGATTACCGGAGAAGAAATCCACAGCAGAAACAGCCAAGGAGACAATCTTGCCTTCACCTGAGTCCCACACAGGAGGAAAGAGGTAATCAGAGGCAGTACAGCCTCTTAGACATGTGTAGACTATTGAATTAATGACACAGTTCTGCTTTCTCCTTTGTGTCTGGAAATCAAATCCAAAAGAGCTACAAAGTCTTTGGAGAGGACACCACTAGGTCACTAGCCAGATTCACATTTTATATCATAAGGATTGATTTTTTTTTTTTTTTTTTTAACCTGGGATTGCATAAGGAGACCATTGAAACCTACATAATTGTTACATTTGGACAGATTTTCAGCATTGTAAAGACCACGAAACCCCATCTGGCCCCCTGTAGGGTCTTATTATTGCGGTCAGTTAGCTAAATAAATGTGTAATCTGTAACTGCTGGCATAAATTACCTATTTCACAGCCTTCTCCAGAGCATGAAAAAAATCAGAGAGAGACATAAAAATTCTTTTTTGTAATACCATTTACTGTGGGCAAATTGATGAAACAGCCTATGTAGCTCTTTCATTAAGCAAGTGACCCCTGAAGGGGAATGCACAGCAGCTGGAATTATTCCGCCAATCAAGGCAAGCAGGTATAGATGTGACCTACTGGACTTCGCAGCTCAACTTCACAGACTTTACAGCTGGGTTAAACTCTTGCTGTCTTCTCAAAGCTTGGGCCTGTGTCAGCAGCAGCAGCAGCAACATCGCCAGGGAGCGTTTTAGAACACAGATCCTTGGGCCTCACCCCGGACCCACCCAAACAGAATCTGCATTTAAAGATCCCCAAGTGATTCATGTGCACGATGAAGACTGAGAAGCATTGGTTTAAAGATGTGATACTGAGATGACCAAACACTGCCCCCAAAGCTATCTGAGGTCTAAGTTCACCATTGAGACATGAGGAAGAAGGATATATGTAGTATTTTTGTTTACACGGGCTCTGGAATCAGAAAAAAAGGGATACAAACACTGGATCAACCTTTACTAGTTCTACACCCTTGGGTAAGTTGTCAGTCTCTTTACTTTCAGGTCCCTTACCTCTAAAGTGGGACAATAATATTGCTTTCTTCATAGGATTGCAATTTTCTTGCTAAGCTCAGAGCAGGTTGCCTATAAGCCCTCAATATCAGTTCTCTTTCAATAGTAGTATGATTCGAAGGTATAGATACTGACGGCATAATCTGGGAAAGAATAATTGAGTCCAACTACCTCTGCTGCAGACCTTGATTATCCCTTGATTATAAATACTGCTGCAGGGTTCTGTGCTTGCTCTGCTTGCCTCCTCCTGGCTCAGTTCTCTGCAGGAAAACGTGGATCCTCCAATGTCAGATTCTAATACGTTTCTCAGTTCCACTGATATTGGGAAAGAGACCACTTTTTACAACATGCTAAGGTCTTAGATGCTGAACAAAGTAAGATAAAGAAAATGTATAGGGATCCTTTCCATGCCAATAGCACTCACGCAAACATGGTGAATGTTCCTAAAACCCACCGGACTTTCTGTAAGAAGTGGGGCAAGTACCAACCCCACAAAGTAACACAGTACAAGAAGGGCAAGGATTCTCTGCAGGCCCAGGGAAAGTGGCATTCTAACAAGAAGCAGAGTGGCTATGGTGGGCAGACTAAGTTGATTTTCTGGAAAAAGGCTAAAACTACAAAGATTGTGCTAAGGTTTGAGTGTATGGAACCCAACTGCAGATCTAAGAGAATGCTGGCTATTAAAATATGCAAGCATTTTGAACTGGGAGGAAATAAGAAGAGAAAGGGCCAAGTGATCCAGTTCTAAGTGTCATCTTTTGTTTTATTACTGTATTAGTCCGTTTTCACACTGATGATAAAGATATATCTGAGACTGGGCAATTTACAAAAGAAAAGTTTAATTGAACTCACAGTTCCACGTGGCTGGGGAGGCCTCATGATCATGGTGGAAGGTAAGGGAGATAAGGATATGTATAATGGGTATAAACATACAGTTAAACAGAAAAAAAATAAGTTACAATGTTTGATGGCAGAGTAGGATGACTAGAGTTGACAGCAATATATTGTATATTTCAAAATAGCTAAGAGGGGACTGCAAGTGTTTCCAACACATGAAAACAATAAATACTTGAAGTGATGGATATTCAAACAACCTGATTTGATCATTATACATTCTATGCATATAACAAAATACTACACGTACCCCATAAAAATGTACAAACATAGGTCAATAAAAAAGTGAGAGAAGGGCCAGATAGGTGCAGTGGCTCACGCCTGTAATCCCAGCACTTTGGGAGTCCGAGGCAGGTGGATCACTACGTCAGGCATTGGAGACCAGCCTGGCCAACATAGTGAAACTGTCTCTACTAAAAAAAAAAATAGAAAAATTAGCTGAGCATGGTGGTGGGCACCTGTAATCCCAGCTACTCGGGAGGCTGAGGCAGGAGAATCACTTGAACCTGGGAGGCAGAGGTTGCAGTAAGCCAAGATCGCGCCACTGCACTCCAGCACAGGCAACAGTGCAAGACTCGGTCTCAAAAAAAAAAAAAAAAACGGTGAGAGAGGACATTTATTATAGCACAAATAACTGACAAATGACTATGAACATGTAAGGAAGTTTTATAAATCAATAATAAAATATAACCTATTTTTAATTGGCAAAATACTTAAATATTAACTTCATAAAAGAGAATACTAAAAATGCCATAAACATGAAAAGGTGCTCAAGCTCATTCATCATTAAGGGAATGTAAATTAAAAAGACAATGAGATACCATTATATTTTACTAGAATTGTGAACATTTAAAAGACTGAGAACTTCAAGTGTTGCCAAAGATGTGGTACATTTTGAGGACTCCTTCACAGCTGCTAGAAGTACAAATTGAAATTACTGCCTTAAAAAATTATTTAGTGTTACATACTAAAGTTTAATATGCCTATACACTATGATTCTACTTCTGGTTAAATATAAATTTAGAAATAAAATGAAAATATACTGTATAATATGTATATAAAATATATGCACTTTTGGACCAAAATGCTTGCATAAGAATTTTTATAGCAGTGTTTTTCATAATAGGCAAAATTTGGAATTTGAATATGGCTCAAAGTCCATCAAGTCTAAATATATCAATAAATCATGATATATATTTATACAGTCGAGTACTTTACATACAACAATAAAAATCAACATTTCACAGTTAGTTATACGCAGAAACATGGATGAAGCTCACAAAGAAACTGAATGAGCAAAAAAAAAGCCAATGCAATAGGCTGTTTTATATACAGGGGTTACCTATAGGATAGAAATTTGCCTTTTCAGAAAAAGGGAAGAATGATGACCAGGAAGACCAAAAGGTAACTTTTAAGGCTCTGGCGTCCCATGTCTTTACCTAGTGGGAATTATATAGGTGTACTCATGTTCTGATAGTAAATATGTGAGATTTTCCTGCATGTGTTATTCTGCAGTAAAAACTTAAAACATACAGGGTTATTTAGTGGCTATAGAATCTTGGTTTGGGAAGATGAAAAATTTCTTGAGATAGATAGTGGCAATGGTTGCACAACATTGTCAATGTACTTAATGTCCCTGATCTGTACACTAAAACATGGTTAAAATAGTAAATTTTAAATTATGCATAGCATATTTTTATCACAATAACAAACTTTAAAAATAAAATAAATGCAAATGAAATCATGTAAGAAGAAAAGCTGTAAGATGACTCATGAACAGAGCATTGGTTAAAGCACAGGGGAGAGTATATCAACAGGCTTAGGTACCCCAGCAGACATTATGTTATGTGGAGCAGTGTGGAGAATTACCAGAGAAGGCTGAGCAGATGTGTGTCCTATTCCAAGGTAAATTCTGTTAACTCTGTGAAACTGGTAGTGATATATAAAATTAATATGTAATACACAAGTTTAATCAAAGTAAGAATCAAAAGTTTCCCAAATCCCAAAGCAGTTTTTATTTTGTGAAAACAAAAACAAGCAGACAGCGATATGAGAATCTAGGAGCTTTTAGCTGATTGCTGTGTCCAGTAAGAAAGATGTGGGAGGCAGAGGGCTCTGAGATATACAGTTAGGGAGGTGTCTTTGGGTATATCTAACCCCGAGCTCCTAGACCAGATTTCAGAAACCAGAAGAAATAGGATTGGTGATTGGACATTAATTTTTGTGTACATCTCAGCTAGTGAGATAATAAGAACCTAATCACAGTAATTTCTAGGATTAAAACATCGCCATCACTCAAAATTTACAATAGATGCACAACACAGCCAACTTGATAAAGCAAAGTGTCAATTTTATATATACACATGAATAAATAACTACAAAAATGAATTCTTAGGGATGTTTGCTGCTGATCTCAGTGGAGCAACCTAGCTCAGGACATTGAATTTCTGAATTCAATGCACCTGACTTTGGATTTCCTTCAGAGCTAAGCCCACTTCCACAACTTTTATATTTCAAGTCGAGTGTTTCATAGTACTTGTATTTTGTGTCTGTTTCATTTGTTTTGCTTGTTAATTGATTTTTCCTTTATTCGGTTATTATTTATCCAGACTCATTGAATTATGAATGGTGCTAATGGAATTTAAAGAGGAAAGACATTGGAAACTACGCCACAGGACACTTACATCCTGGTAAGTTACATCCAAACAAGCCATTACTATAACCACGAAGTAAGTCTCCCCACATCAGACTTTCTTTTCAAATGTTCTCCTTGCTATCCCTACAGGATACCTCTTGCATTCCTTTTTTTCTAATATCTTTCCTTACACTTCATTCTTCATTTCTCTGCTCATCGGCACTCACACTGACTTTGAATACAAGTTTAGAATTGGTCTCATGAGCTGATAACGAGAATGTATTTCTTCTCTTGTTTTAAATAACATTGCTTCCAGCTGAATTATCTCTTTCAGTTTGTGTGTACATCCTGAGAGATCATTGCCTAATTTTAAAGAAAAATGACAAGTGGAGTATGTTCTCATGATGTCTATGGAGCAGCAGCTTTTCAGTGAACATGGAAACTTGATAGTTTTAATCTCAGAGGAAAATAAAAACTAGGCAGAGACAGTAGTGGTGCATTAGACAATAAAAAATATTGAGAAGATCTGGAAACAAACAGAGAAATAGATATACTTTTAAGTTTGATTCCAAATCCAACAAATATTGCCAGGAAATAGCACAGATTAGAATTGGAAGGTATGCCTGATGGTAGGGTGCACTGCTGGACAGAGAGGAACGCACAGGCTGTTGGAATTTTTGTTTGCTTTTTCTGTCTGTGATCACAAGGGCTCATGATGCCAGAAGCTCCCAACAACAAATAATGATTCCTGTTGACCATGGTCTGTGTTGCAATTTCCACGCTTACTTGTCCATAGCATGAGCTAAGTCAATTATTCATAGCATCAGCAACTTGGCTTCCCCCATTTACAGGATGCTTCTTCAACATTCTAATTGTAAAATGTGAACACCTAAATGCTGACATATGATGTATTAAATAAGAATCAACTGTCTCTAACTCTCCAAATTGACCCTTCAAGGGAACAGAGGCTAACTTAAAAAAAAGCCAAAAACTAGTTTTCCAGGGTCACCACCTCCCAAAAGACAAAATAGAACAAAACAAAGCCAAAACGACTTCACTCTGTATTAAAATACAAGCAGTTATGAAATTTTAACAACTGTAGACTTTAAAATTGCTCTCAGGTAGATTTTCACCTGTTCATCCCCACTGCCAGTGTTCCAGTACAAGCCCTCATCATCAAATTCTGGATTGTGACTGCCTCTGCCGGCTAACTCTTCTCCCGACCTCCAATTCAAATTAATGGAGTGGACTCTCCACAATAGATCTGATCATCCATGGCTTCCCATTGTCATGGGGATTGCATTCAAATTCTTCCATGTGAAATACAAAGCCTGTCACCATCAGGTCCCAAACAATCTTTTCTCCTCTGTCCAGAACTTCCCCCAGCTTGCCCCAGATTTCCTGTGCTCTTCATGTGCTAACTTCTGAAGATCTCCTATTGTGCTGCCTTTATTCAAGCAGTTTCCCCTTCCAGGAACTCCTTTCATGTTAACAGTCATTTGTGTTGTGTATTTTAAAACTGGATTCTGTGGTTGCCCTCTTCCAATAAGTTATTATGTATTTTTATTTTCCCATCCTAAGGCTTCCATGATCTGATCCCTACCTACGTCTCCCCTCTAGAACTCCCTCTTTTCTTCTTCTTCCAAGGTCTCTATTCTCTATGGGCTGATTCTTCCTTTTCTCCTGGTACATTTCTCTTATTCCTGTCTCAGGCTTCTGCCTATAAATCATTACTGTATGTGAATCTTGCCTCCATGGTCACTCTTAGATAGGTTAGGACTCCCTGCCAATGTTCTGATTTATCACACAATAGTTCTTTATTCACACATATTCACTTTCTATGTAAATGGGTAATTGTTTTAGCTAGACTGAAATCTCCCTGAGGTCAGGGGTAGTGACCTGTTTGTCCTTTGCCTACATCTACAATGTAGTAACTATTCACTGTTTGTTGAAAGACCTCAATATAATAATGAAATAAATATAACTTTAAATAAATATAAAATATATATTAATCATAATAAAAATAATAAAAGTACATTATAGAATAATTACAAACTGTCAAACCACCATCATTTTCTCCACTAAATGAAATGACTTATCCAAGAGAAGGTGTCTTCATAAAACATCATAATTTGAGAATATATTTAACTAATTGGAGAAAAGGCATGTTTTCATTTCTTAAATATCTGAATTGTATACTATTAGGAGATTTTATTTATTTCGAA